CCCCCCCGCCCAGGGCTGCTCTGAGCCCGGCCCTTGCCACCGGCATTTTGTGCCGTCAGACCCACAGCACAGAGGAGGGACCGAGACTCAGGGGGGAGGACGCCTGCGCAGAGCCACACACATTGCCCGTCACTGAGCTGGAGCCAAACCCGTGCCTCTCCCCGTCCCTGGAGAGGGGCTGACTCCCCGCTTCCCTCACACGGAGAAATAACAAGCCGGGCTGCGGAGGAAGGAGCTGGGGCCTCCTACCAGCTGCTGGGCTAAGGGCTTCACAACCCCACGGGGTGGCTACTCCTGCTGTTCCCATTTTAGAGATGAGAACACAGAGGCCCAGGGGTTGTTAGCGAGCGGTGGAACCAGGTCTTGGACGTGGGCCAGAGACGGTGATCTCGGCCGGATGCTGCACTGCTCTGCCCTGCATGCCCCCCCTCCCACTCACCCAGAGGATCTGGGCCCTTTAGGCTGCAGGCTTGGGTGGTCCTGGCCCCTGTGGTGCCCAGAGGTCAGTGGGAAGCAGGGCCTTGGCTGCTGCAGGGACCTCGGGTGGCCTGGCCGGGGTCCTACAGCGGCCACAGCTCACACCAAAGCCTCAGCCAGCAGCCCAGCTCCCCGGGGCCTGAGCCCGCCTCCTGGGACGAGTCCACCCAGAACTGGGAGGCAGAAAAGCCAGCATGGCTGAGACCACAACCGTGCCTGTCTGTTTTCTCAGCAGGAGGCAAACCCACCCGCCTGAGCCCGCCCAGGTCCCCGAGGCCCAGCGAGGCGAGCCCACCTGTGCGGTTCTCGTCAAAGAAGCTCGTCTCCTGAGACACCAGCGAGCGGAAGAGGCAGTTCCGGAGGCGAATGTTCAGTCTGGCAAATATGAGGGTAAAAATGCCGCCCCGAATACCTGCGGCAAATGAGCTAATTGCAGATAAGAGATGTTATACATGGCACGGCGTCCTTCCGGCAACCGACGACCCGCCCGCCGCCCTCCCGCTGCTGGCAGGCCCGGGCCCACCCCTGACCCACTCCCAGGACTCTGCCCCCCACTGGAGCCCCCAAGGTGAGAGCGAAGAGGGGGCTGTGTTTACTGGGGCCAGGACCCGACTTCGCCAGCCGGACCCCTCAAGGGCGCACAAGGCTGGCCCTGGAAAACCAGACAGGAGCCCTGGAGGAGGGTGTGGCTCAACCAAGTGGACATGGGTGCTGAGCTAGTTCAGTTGTTGGTTACTATGGGGACCAGCTGAGGGACAGGCCCACCAGCGGCATTTCTGGGGCCCCTCTGGCTCATTCCCTCGCCCCCCTCCCCCAGGAGCTGCCCGACCCCTGCCCCTGCTGTGGCCTGGGGGGCGGGCGTGGCGGGAGGGCTACCTGCCAAGGGCCAGCAGGCACATGACCACGACGGCCGTGCTGAACTGCTCCATGCTCTTCTGGATGACGATGCCGTCGATGGCGCGGCCGGTGTAGTAGGGCAGGAACGTCTCTCCTGCGGGAGACGGGGCTCAGGGGGCGTCTGCAGCGGGGAGCCCGCACCCTTCCTCCCGAGCCCCCCACAAACTCTCCTCTCCCCATGGCGGGGGCTGGAGGGGCCGCCCATGCCGAATGCCCCCACTTTTCAGAGAAGAGCCACAGGAGGCGCGGGGACTTGGATCTGAACCGAGTGTGTGGGAATTAATCACAGCTACCAGGCACCTGCCACGGAGCCACGGAGTCACGGGGCCACGAAGCCACAAGGCCCAGGCGGCATTGCATTCCCTGCGTGCAGACTCTGAGGTTGGCCGTTGTCACCCCACCTCACAGCTGAGGAAAGTGGCGCTGAGGAGCTGAGATGGCACTCGCTCAGGCTCCGGGACGTCAAAGCTCACTGCTTTCTTGCTGGCGGGGGGTTCGAGTCTGCATTCTAGAGCCTCGGCGATGCTGGTATCCTGGCTGGGAACGGCCCCGCCCCTCCTGGTGGGCACTTTAGTTTGCCGATTATGTCCTACCCATTTGTCTTGTATCCTCACAACAACCTGGGCAGATGTGGGGAGAGGGGATGTACAGAGGGGGAATGGGAGGCTCAGAGGGGCTGAGTAATTTGCCAGAAGTCACACGGCAATCAAGAGGAGGGGCCAGGACACACATCCAAGCCAGCTTCCAATCTGGGGTGATGTCTTTCCTTGTCCCTTTCCTCTCCCAAATTCGGGTGCCCACTCGCATACTACGGGAATGATGGGCAGGGAGTGGAGCGTGGTCAGACCAGGCTGGGTCCCCTGTCTTCAAGGCCCGTCTTTCCCGAGGCCACAGCCTGGCTCGGGGCTGGGCATACAGCCGGCGCTCAATAAAGGTCAGTGAATGAATCCTGGGCAGCTCTACAGGACTGGCTCGGGCGGGACAGGGAGGCCTTCTGTGGGGTTCTGGCGCCCTCTGCTGGTGGTGGGATGGGGACCATAAGGTGGCAGCCGCCACGGAGTCTCCAGCCGCCGCTGTGGAGTCTGCCTCAGCTTACCCCGGGGAGAAGAGGCATCGGCGAGCTCCAGCAGCACTGACCGCAGCCAGCACCAGTGAAGGCCAGTGATCACACGTGTTCACGGAGCCCTTACCGGTGCGGGCGCCGTGCTAAGCACACCCCCTTGTCCAATCTGCACAAGAACCACACGGAGCTCTCCAGCCGGCAACCCCGCGGCTCCGCCTCCAGAACATTTCCAGAACCCGACCACTCTTACTGCCCCTCCTGCCCCCCCGCCGCGTCCACGCTGCCGGCCTTGCCTGGGCCACCCTAGCAGCAGCTCCTGGCTCCCCCTGCTCCGCCCTCGCGCCCATCAGCCTCTCCACCCATGGACAGCGGGAGCCGGTGAAGCCGAAATAAAACCTTGTCGTCTCTCAGCTCAAAACAGTCCGACGGCTCCCATCGCATCCAGGGTAACAAAGTCCTCACAGGGGCCACGGCGCCCTGACCTGACCTCATCTTCCACTCTCCCCCTCACTCCCTGCTCCAGCTACGCCGGCCTCTTTGCTGTCCCTTTAACAACCAGGACCTTCCTGCTCGGGACCTTGTACAGGCTGCTCCTGCCAGGAGCACTGTCACCCCACATATCTGCTCCCTCGTCTCTTAAAAGTCCCAAACGCCTCCCAATAGTCCTACAGGTGTGGTCTTCTTCTTCCCATTTCGCAGATGAGGAAACTGAGGCTCAGAGAGGCTAAGTCACTTGTCCACGTTTATGCAGTTGGGTTGCCATGAAATTCATCTTCAAGAATCTCAATTTAGCCCTGGCTGGTCTGGCTCAGTGGATAGAGAGTTGGCCTGTGGACTGAAGGGTCCCAGGTTTGATTCTGGTCAAGGACACATGCCCGGGTTGCAGGCTCGATCCCCAGTGGGGAACGTGCAGGAGGCAGCCGATCAAGGATTCTCTCTCGTCACTGATGTTTCTATCTCTCTCTCCCTCTCCCTTCCTGTCTGAAATCAACAAAAATATAATTTTAAAAAAAGAATCTCAATTTAATAGGAGATACTCAAACGAACCTTTTCCCCAATGGGCAGTGTTTCTTTTAGAATATGAGGCATCAGAAAAAGCTGGGCCCTCCTGGGTGCTTGTTGATTGAATTAATAATAATTGAATTAATAATAATCACAGCACCTAACTTCTATGAGCACCCACTTTTCCCAGGCACCATGCTTCATCTGCCTGGATTCTCTCAATAACTCGGTGAACCCCCATTTCCGGATGAGACACCGAGGGTTGGCCAGGTCACGCAAGCTTGCCTGAAGTTAGCAGGGGCGTCGGGGGCCGGGTCAAGTGCGAGCCTTCCCCTCGGCCCAGTCCTGCAGGTGCCCACACCTGCTCAGCTGCACCAGGACGTTGGTGACCCTGAGGACACGCCAGCTGACAACAGGGCCCCGGCAGGTGCGGGAAATGGGGTCCTGGGGCAGCCGCTGCCCACACGGGCAGGATGGTCACTTGTTCATTCACTCAGGGAGCCTGCCTCTGGCCGGGCATCGGGGCGTCCGGGGCGAGTCAGGCCCAGTGCCGGCCCCCGAGGGGCTCAGAGTCTTGAGGGGAGGCAGCAGGGTGGACTCCTGATTCTCACGTCACCAATGCTGTTACTAAGGCGCAAAGGGCGTCTCAGAGGAGGGGACAGCTGGGCCTCGAAGCGTGAGTAGGAGAAACTATCTGGATACACGAAAAAGGTCATCCCAGCCGTAACCGGTTTGGCTCAGTGGATGGAGCGTCGGCCTGCGGACTGAAGGGTCCCGGGTTCGATTCCGGTCGGGGGTATGTGCCTTGGTTGTGGGCACATCTCCAGTAGCGGGTGTGCGGGAGGCAGCTGATCGATGTTTCTCTCTCATCGATGTTTCTAACTCTCTATCCCTCTCCCTTCCTCTCTGTAGAAAAATCAATAAAATAT